ACGCTGAAGACTGGAGTAATGATGCTGGAAATTCAGCTTTGCCTTATAGGAATTAATTAGAATGTAAAATATAAAGTTATATTAAACTGTAATGATATTTCACAATATTAGTTTTTTTTTTACGTATCTTTCTTAATCAAATAAATGCAGCATTGGTGAGAATAAGAGACATTAAAAAAAAAAAAAAAAAAAAAACTTACCCACATCAAGCTTTTTTTTTTTTTTTTTTTACAACAGTAGTGTATAATAATAATATATTAAAACAATATAATATAATACAAAGAACTGCCTTTCATGTCATACTGTATTGTCACTTTTTAACTTGTACTAAATTCTATTTTTGTGTTCCACAGAATATATCATACAGGAACTATATGAAGGCGAGTAAATAATGATACATTTTCTTTTAGTGGAAACAGGGCCATATCTAACCTGGCCTGATGGTACTGTCTCTGCCAAACAGGTGCAGCCGTCGACGGGCCAAGCAGAAATGTTCAATGATGTGGAAAATCTCGACTGGCTTCTCAATATTGCCCATCTCTGGCTCTTCTGTAATGATCAGGTCTATATCCACATTAGCATGAATGAAATCGCCATCTGTGCTGCGTCTAACTGTGCCTTTGATACCCATCAGACAGTGCTCCTGAATGCACACACAAAAAGAGAGATGTCAGAGAAAAAAAAAAGTTTTTAATTAGTAACTAGCAACTTATTGTTATGGCTTGCCCATTGCATTAACCAATCAGGACAGTGTCTCTTACCTTAGTTCTCTGGAAGACTGCCTTAGGGTCCAGCGTTTTGGTCTTGCCAGGGTTGTTTTTGTTGGTCTTGATCCAACAAATGTCTTCACATCGCCTGAAGCCCCATTTCCTCAGACACTGAGAGAGAGAAAGATGTTAAAATATGTTTCACTCTCACAGACAATGACTGTATGCAGCATTTTTGTTTGTGTGCAGGTTATACAGAAATGTGTGTCATTTACATCATCATCATGTGACATTCAAATCAGTGAAAACACGCCGAGTAATACGTCACATTAAAACAGAACTCACATTAAACAGTTTATTGAAATCACAGATATATTTTGAGTTAAGGAATACGGGTAATAATGTAAATAATGTTCAGTTTCTTGCACAGACTGATCGTTTCGCTTCATAAGACATCAATATATCGTCGTCAGGAGGCACAGGTATTAATTTTGTGTTGCACAAAGTGACGGTAGTCGTTAACCTGCATTTTATGCATCACCAAGAACCACGATTTTTGCTAAAAATCTCAAGAAAAAAAAAAAATCACCTATATCTTGGATGGCCTTGAGGGTGAATAAATTAACAGCAAATTTTCATTTTTGGGTGAACTGTGTGTGCATGTTTGAAAGATTTGTACCATTCGGCCAAGATCAAGGCCTTCCCCCGAACCACACCACAGGAATACAAAAGAGCGAATAGATGAGATTTCCTCTATGTTCAGCTTCATGATCTATAGCAAAACAAAAAAAAGGTCAAATAAGTATGTATAACTGAAATCCATTTAAAATGTTTTACAATGCACATTTATATAACTCACATCATCCCAGGTCCAAAAGCGTTCATTGGCTATGATGCCTGACTCTCTGTAATACTCCTCCAACGGAGGCTCTATCAGAATCACGTCAAATTTACACTTCAAATCTCGCAGATCAAACGTGTCCGGATCTGCCTGCAGATACCTGACACACACACAAATGCATTTATATATTCAGAAATACATGCAAATGAGACAATATACGGTATAAAAGGTCTACAATAGACCTTAGATGCTATACTGAATTTATCGTAGATGAAAGAAAAAAATTCTCTCTCTTTATTTATTCCTTCTCTTTCTAGCTTGTACTTATTTGAACAATGTCTAGAAACTTGGTATTACAAACACTTCCTGTATCCGTTTGCCTCTTTAAGAAGAATAGCTTTATGTATCCCCCAATTGTAAGTCGCTTTGGATAAAAGCGTCTGCAAAATGACTAAATGTAAATGTGAAAACGAGGCTGTGAGGTGTAGACTTTACAATGGCACGTACTGTATAAAAGTCCTAGATCGTGTAATTTTCACAACTGTTTTATTGAGTTTTTGTCTACTGAACTCTTCGGTATGTACTGAACATTCGGTATGTTGTTAAAGATCAGTGCAATGCACTGAACGCATGTACATCTATCCCTCACAACCTCTTTTTCATTCCTGATTAAATATGGCGATACCCTGACTAAGGTCAATTAGACGGGTCTCAAGCATCCGCAAACATCTGTTCTATTTTGCATTGTCTGACAGCAGGTTGTCTTGTCTTACATGGGTGGGGTGTTGGTGGCAGCGATGAGCTCATCTTTGAGTCGGATGAGCTCTCTTTGTTTTGGGTACTCCTCAAATCTGTCAGCCAAACCTAAAGCACAACAGAGCACACAATTGACACAGTCTAACATCTGGGTATGAGAGAGGAAGACAAAAAACCCAATGATCCATTGGACTATTTACCTCCATCTCGGATAAAGTTCTGAGGTCTATGACCTGTGTCCACAAAGTGTTGGCAGTAATCGTTGTGAGGATTTAAACTCTGAGTGCCCTGTGAAACAAAAAGTGTTACTATCATGAACTTTATTTTTTAAAAATGGCTTGTAATAACTTCATACGTGTTATTTTAAAAAGCACTCGCCAACATACTGCAAGATTTTTTCATGTAATTGCTATGCAAATCATTTAATATTGTGTTTAATTCTACCTTCAGGAAAGTGCTGGAGTCTTTGTACACCTCCTCATACTGTCCGCTCTCCTCCTGCTGCTGCTGGAGCTCAACATCTTCCTGTAACATCATACAGCAGATCCAAGATCAGTTATCTACAGCCTTGCCTTGCCCTGATCTTATCTCAACAGCTGATCAGTGCTCACTCACCCTCTGCTCCTCCACATCCTCCTCTGGGTCTTCACTTTCATTCAGACACTTTCTTTTAGCAACAGGAAGTGACGTGTCAAATGAAGCCCTGCGGTAAACATAACACAGAGCAGAGGATAACTAACCCCCATCAGTACTGCCACTGTTCTGATTTGATTAGTTTCAAGTAACAGCATTACATTCAACCTGTGCTTAGTGTAAACAGTGCCCTACACATATGTTTTTGATCATTTCGGGGGACGACTTAATTCTGCCTTCATATTCTACAAACATGTCTCTCTACCTGCACGTCTCTCTGGTCTCTTCGATCTCTTTTTGTTCATCTTTGCTATTGAGAACAGCACCGATGCTGTCGGGACTCTCTGCGCCGAGCTGCAAAAACCAAACATTAACTTCGTAAAGCACAATCGCATCACTCAAAACTCGCGACCACATTTATTCACAAGACTGAACAGTATTCGTTTGGCAACGCTCGCTAACAATGCAGTAACTTAAACCGAAAAGTCACCTGTTGTGCAAGAAGCTGCCGTCTGAGCTTCTGCCTTTCACGTATTTCTTGCAGCCGGCTGTTCATGTCAATAATATTTTCCAGGGAAATAATTCCTCATACAATTATTTGGTGAAAACAATTGTGCGGCAACATTCATTGAAAACCTCAACGTGAGGAGCCGTCGCACGCATTTGACATCATCACGCTGCTAGACGCATACTATGGCGTCAGTAAGCGCCCACCAATACCGCGTAATTTTTCTCACACTTTACAACAATAATTACTATTTTTGAATTATTGTAAGGGGTAGGTTTAGGGTTGGGGTAGGTGTAGACGTTAATAAAACACAATCTAATAGACCAGTTATCGGTTTGTAAACATTCAGGATGCGCGCGCAGCATGGTTGCAGAAAACCCGGGAGAGATAGCCTTTACGGCTAGAGAATTTCACGGATACGGTACAAAATAGTTAGGTTTAAAAAGATTATAAATTATATTGATTAGATGTCATTTTCAAAATGTTCTACACATATTACAAGAGCTTGTCACCCAGCGATAAGCACTGTTATTCAACGAAATTGCCGTTAGAGAGTGCGATAGTCTTACAGATCCGAAACAGAGGTGACGGTTTTTGTGGGCGGAGCCTATCTGGAGGCAGAAAATGACGGTTAAAGCGGCAGTCTGTGGAGCCATGGAATTAAAGAATAGAAAAGGTAAATTTGATTTTATATTTCAAAATTCTGACTTTATTCTCGCAATTCCGAGATTATATTTTATTTTAGATTATATCATAATTCTAATAAGGAAAAACAACTGGTCATTCTCTCTTTTCCCCTCGGCTCTTCTGCCTTTTTTCCCCTCAGATTTGACAAACTCACTATTTTTGAGTTAAGTCGAGTCATAAAGTCCGAATTAGGAGATATAAACTTGCATTTGCGAGCAAACAAAGTCAGGATTGTGAGATAAAGTAAATAAATGTTATGTAAAAATGTTAATAGTAAGGTTTAAATAATATGTCATGCTGTAACTAGGGCTAATACAGTGCGTCCCCTATGAACAGCATATGTGAATATTATGTAGATCTACTGTTTAAATTGAATTTATGCTTTAAAAGTAGTGTAACGTTAATCATAGCAGTTTTCAAATGACAACAGTATTCTATAAACATTATTTGCATTCCGATCTTGACATCAAAAGGCACAAAAATATATATTTCTTTTATTCCATGGATTTTACCCGTTTATCTCCACTTGTTCCCAGTGTTTTTCTGCCACCACTATGCGCGCGCAGCTGCAAGTTAGGGATGGGCGTATCGATCCAAAGTATCGATATATCGATACTGACGCGAGTATCGAAAGTATCGATACTCAAACAAAAAATATCGATACTAAGGTGTGTTTTATTTACCAGTGATTTTGTTAATTTAACAAAAATATAATGCGTACAATATGCATCGAATTGGACGAATAACCTTTGTTAGCGAGTAATTGTGTAGGATAGAATTTTTGTGTTCCACAGAATATATCATACAGGAACTATATGAAGGCGAGTAAATAATGATACATTTTCTTTTAGTGGAAACAGGGCCATATCTAACCTGGCCTGATGGTACTGTCTCTGCCAAACAGGTGCAGCCGTCGACGGGCCAAGCAGAAATGTTCAATGATGTGGAAAATCTCGACTGGCTTCTCAATATTGCCCATCTCTGGCTCTTCTGTAATGATCAGGTCTATATCCACATTAGCATGAATGAAATCGCCATCTGTGCTGCGTCTAACTGTGCCTTTGATACCCATCAGACAGTGCTCCTGAATGCACACACAAAAAGAGAGATGTCAGAGAAAAAAAAAAGTTTTTAATTAGTAACTAGCAACTTATTGTTATGGCTTGCCCATTGCATTAACCAATCAGGACAGTGTCTCTTACCTTAGTTCTCTGGAAGACTGCCTTAGGGTCCAGCGTTTTGGTCTTGCCAGGGTTGTTTTTGTTGGTCTTGATCCAACAAATGTCTTCACATCGCCTGAAGCCCCATTTCCTCAGACACTGAGAGAGAGAAAAATGTTAAAATATGTTTCACTCTCACAGACAATGACTGTATGCAGCATTTTTGTTTGTGTGCAGGTTATACAGAAATGTGTCATTTACATCATCATCATGTGACATTCAAATCAGTGAAAACACGCCGAGTAATACGTCACATTAAAACAGAACTCACATTAAACAGTTTATTGAAATCACAGATATATTTTGAGTTAAGGAATACGGGTAATAATGTAAATAATGTTCAGTTTCTTGCACAGACTGATCGTTTCGCTTAATAAGACATCAATATATCGTCGTCAGGAGGCACAGGTATTAATTTTGTGTTGCACAAAGTGACGGTAGTCGTTAACCTGCATTTTATGCATCACCAAGAACCACAAAAAAAAAAAATCACCTATATCTTGGATGGCCTTGAGGGTGAATAAATTAACAGCAAATTTTCATTTTTGGGTGAACTGTGTGTGCATGTTTGAAAGATTTGTACCATTCGGCCAAGATCAAGGCCTTCCCCCGAACCACACCACAGGAATACAAAAGAGCGAATAGATGAGATTTCCTCTATGTTCAGCTTCATGATCTATAGCAAAACAAAAAAAAGGTCAAATAAGTATGTATAACTGAAATCCATTTAAAATGTTTTACAATGCACATTTATATAACTCACATCATCCCAGGTCCAAAAGCGTTCATTGGCTATGATGCCTGACTCTCTGTAATGTCGTCAGGAGGCACAGGTATTAATTTTGTGTTGCACAAAGTGACGGTAGTCGTTAACCTGCATTTTATGCATCACCAAGAACCACGATTTTTGCTAAAAATCTCAAGAAAAAAAAAAAATCACCTATATCTTGGATGGCCTTGAGGGTGAATAAATTAACAGCAAATTTTCATTTTTGGGTGAACTGTGTGTGCATGTTTGAAAGATTTGTACCATTCGGCCAAGATCAAGGCCTTCCCCCGAACCACACCACAGGAATACAAAAGAGCGAATAGATGAGATTTCCTCTATGTTCAGCTTCATGATCTATAGCAAAACAAAAAAAAGGTCAAATAAGTATGTATAACTGAAATCCATTTCAAATGTTTTACAATGCACATTTATATAACTCACATCATCCCAGGTCCAAAAGCGTTCATTGGCTATGATGCCTGACTCTCTGTAATACTCCTCCAACGGAGGCTCTATCAGAATCACGTCAAATTTACACTTCAAATCTCGCAGATCAAACGTGTCCGGATCTGCCTGCAGATACCTGACACACACACAAATGCATTTATATATTCAGAAATACATGCAAATGAGACAATATACGGTATAAAAGGTCTACAATAGACCTTAGATGCTATACTGAATTTATCGTAGATGAAAGAAAAAAATTCTCTCTCTTTATTTATTCCTTCTCTTTCTAGCTTGTACTTATTTGAACAATGTCTAGAAACTTGGTATTACAAACACTTCCTGTATCCGTTTGCCTCTTTAAGAAGAATAGCTTTATGTATCCCCCAATTGTAAGTCGCTTTGGATAAAAGCGTCTGCAAAATGACTAAATGTAAATGTGAAAACGAGGCTGTGAGGTGTAGACTTTACAATGGCACGTACTGTATAAAAGTCCTAGATCGTGTAATTTTCACAACTGTTTTATTGAGTTTTTGTCTACTGAACTCTTCGGTATGTACTGAACATTCGGTATGTTGTTAAAGATCAGTGCAATGCACTGAACGCATGTACATCTATCCCTCACAACCTCTTTTTCATTCCTGATTAAATATGGCGATACCCTGACTAAGGTCAATTAGACGGGTCTCAAGCATCCGCAAACATCTGTTCTATTTTGCATTGTCTGACAGCAGGTTGTCTTGTCTTACATGGGTGGGGTGTTGGTGGCAGCGATGAGCTCATCTTTGAGTCGGATGAGCTCTCTTTGTTTTGGGTACTCCTCAAATCTGTCAGCCAAACCTAAAGCACAACAGAGCACACAATTGACACAGTCTAACATCTGGGTATGAGAGAGGAAGACAAAAAACCCAATGATCCATTGGACTATTTACCTCCATCTCGGATAAAGTTCTGAGGTCTATGACCTGTGTCCACAAAGTGTTGGCAGTAATCGTTGTGAGGATTTAAACTCTGAGTGCCCTGTGAAACAAAAAGTGTTACTATCATGAACTTTATTTTTTAAAAATGGCTTGTAATAACTTCATACGTGTTATTTTAAAAAGCACTCGCCAACATACTGCAAGATTTTTTCATGTAATTGCTATGCAAATCATTTAATATTGTGTTTAATTCTACCTTCAGGAAAGTGCTGGAGTCTTTGTACACCTCCTCATACTGTCCGCTCTCCTCCTGCTGCTGCTGGAGCTCAACATCTTCCTGTAACATCATACAGCAGATCCAAGATCAGTTATCTACAGCCTTGCCTTGCCCTGATCTTATCTCAACAGCTGATCAGTGCTCACTCACCCTCTGCTCCTCCACATCCTCCTCTGGGTCTTCACTTTCATTCAGACACTTTCTTTTAGCAACAGGAAGTGACGTGTCAAATGAAGCCCTGCGGTAAACATAACACAGAGCAGAGGATAACTAACCCCCATCAGTACTGCCACTGTTCTGATTTGATTAGTTTCAAGTAACAGCATTACATTCAACCTGTGCTTAGTGTAAACAGTGCCCTACACATATGTTTTTGATCATTTCGGGGGACGACTTAATTCTGCCTTCATATTCTACAAACATGTCTCTCTACCTGCACGTCTCTCTGGTCTCTTCGATCTCTTTTTGTTCATCTTTGCTATTGAGAACAGCACCGATGCTGTCGGGACTCTCTGCGCCGAGCTGCAAAAACCAAACATTAACTTCGTAAAGCACAATCGCATCACTCAAAACTCGCGACCACATTTATTCACAAGACTGAACAGTATTCGTTTGGCAACGCTCGCTAACAATGCAGTAACTTAAACCGAAAAGTCACCTGTTGTGCAAGAAGCTGCCGTCTGAGCTTCTGCCTTTCACGTATTTCTTGCAGCCGGCTGTTCATGTCAATAATATTTTCCAGGGAAATAATTCCTCATACAATTATTTGGTGAAAACAATTGTGCGGCAACATTCATTGAAAACCTCAACGTGAGGAGCCGTCGCACGCATTTGACATCATCACGCTGCTAGACGCATACTATGGCGTCAGTAAGCGCCCACCAATACCGCGTAATTTTTCTCACACTTTACAACAATAATTACTATTTTTGAATTATTGTAAGGGGTAGGTTTAGGGTTGGGGTAGGTGTAGACGTTAATAAAACACAATCTAATAGACCAGTTATCGGTTTGTAAACATTCAGGATGCGCGCGCAGCATGGTTGCAGAAAACCCGGGAGAGATAGCCTTTACGGCTAGAGAATTTCACGGATACGGTACAAAATAGTTAGGTTTAAAAAGATTATAAATTATATTGATTAGATGTCATTTTCAAAATGTTCTACACATATTACAAGAGCTTGTCACCCAGCGATAAGCACTGTTATTCAACGAAATTGCCGTTAGAGAGTGCGATAGTCTTACAGATCCGAAACAGAGGTGACGGTTTTTGTGGGCGGAGCCTATCTGGAGGCAGAAAATGACGGTTAAAGCGGCAGTCTGTGGAGCCATGGAATTAAAGAATAGAAAAGGTAAATTTGATTTTATATTTCAAAATTCTGACTTTATTCTCGCAATTCCGAGATTATATTTTATTTTAGATTATATCATAATTCTAATAAGGAAAAACAACTGGTCATTCTCTCTTTTCCCCTCGGCTCTTCTGCCTTTTTTCCCCTCAGATTTGACAAACTCACTATTTTTGAGTTAAGTCGAGTCATAAAGTCCGAATTAGGAGATATAAACTTGCATTTGCGAGCAAACAAAGTCAGGATTGTGAGATAAAGTAAATAAATGTTATGTAAAAATGTTAATAGTAAGGTTTAAATAATATGTCATGCTGTAACTAGGGCTAATACAGTGCGTCCCCTATGAACAGCATATGTGAATATTATGTAGATCTACTGTTTAAATTGAATTTATGCTTTAAAAGTAGTGTAACGTTAATCATAGCAGTTTTCAAATGACAACAGTATTCTATAAACATTATTTGCATTCCGATCTTGACATCAAAAAGCACAAAAATATATTTTTCTTTTATTCCATGGATTTTACCCGTTTATCTCCACTTGTTCCCAGTGTTTTTCTGCCACCACTATGCGCGCGCAGCTGCAAGTTAGGGATGGGCGTATCGATCCAAAGTATCGATATATCGATACTGACGCGAGTATCGAAAGTATCGATACTCAAACAAAAAATATCGATACTAAGGTGTGTTTTATTTACCAGTGATTTTGTTAATTTAACAAAAATATAATGCGTACAATATGCATCGAATTGGACGAATAACCTTTGTTAGCGAGTAATTGTGTAGGATAGAACTATTTCCCTGCTCATCTGAACACACGCAAATGTTGCAAGACAGAACCAATCAATCAAAGAGAGCGTTCACTCACTGCTGACAGTGCATTCAAACAGGGCTGCTTTTCCCAAAAGTATCATAAGAAAGCATTAAAGCTTTTGGTAACGGCAGGCCTGAACAATGCTTATCAGAGGACAGAAGGACAGAGTTATTTCACAATAAACAAACTGAAATTGTAGCCTACATAATTTGTGCAATTACAGTTATTTAAATTGAACGTTGAAATATATAAGGCATATTGAATGTTAAAATGCATTTTAAACAAAGTGCTTATTATTACCCATTTTACTCTTAGTAATTTAATAATTTAATACATTTCATCATTTAAGTTTAGTGCAGAAGTATCGAATCGGTATCGATATCGACGATACTGCCTTGAAAAATATCGGTATCGTATCGAAAACAAAATAAGTGGTATCGCCCATCCCTAACCAGAACCAGTTGTCCAAAAGAACCAGTTCGGTTCAGACGTGCTGTGTCAGTCATAGCAGGTGATCTGCTCGGTAGCTTCACGCTGAATCGCGCATGCGCAGTATCATCAGCTCATCGGTTCTCAAATCGGACGCGTCCGAAAGAAACGGTTCTCGGTTCAGTGTACCGGTGATCCGAAAACCGATGCAACCG